AAACTGAGGACAAACATCGTAGAAGCTAAAGCGTAGACGGCAAAAATTTTCTGCTGGCACCGTAAAAGTTACTCATGACCACTTTTTCTGCTTAGGTTCTCTAAAAGAAAATTTCGTCGCGGTGCAGCGTTACGAAAGACTTGAGCACCAAGTTTTGTCGCATGAACGAATACATCAGCATGACTAAGTGCAAAACCAGACTCGAAAGAAAGAAACTGTGCGAAAGAAAGACGTGGTGATGATGTGATAGAATTTGAACCTTCAGTTCGAATGAAACACCATACCTCGTTGGGTTCCTGGACGATGCACTTTAGATGATTTCCACAACGGCCGTGCACCGGTGAGTATCGTTTCCGAGCGAAGTATCCACGTTGGTCATTTACGACGTCTACGTCGCACTCCTCTCCGTCGTTCAAACCACACACCTGACAGCAATCGCAGCGATCGCGGACCATTCCGGAGGGGCACAATTTCGGAGATGTGTCGCATGCCGATTCGTCACACCTGCCGCATGGTTCGACAGCAAACGAGACCGTATTCAAGGACACCCATAAAAGAAGACCAGTGGCTAGTTTTGTCAGCAGTGGCAAACTCATGACGAACAGCTTCTGTTAACAGCTTCTGAAATCAACACACTACTTTTAGCAAGACTGCGTTATGTGCTAGTCATCAATGCAACGCCGCCTGCTCCGATCGATTGGAGGAAACCACGGTGATCCCGCCCTCCTCTGAAACTTTTCTCAACACCCCTCCGATATACTCTTGTTAGATAGAAGCAGAATCAAAGAAAAGCATTCGGAGAGATGAGGTATGCTAAAGAACACGTAGGCATTCCCTAAACTTCAACCTTACTGCTATTCCGTAACCACCTCCATTTCCAGACAGGCTGCAGACCAATGTTGCAGAGAAGTGGCTCATGGATAATCAGATTCTTGACAATGAGTCAAAAGAGCTTCTATTGCTCACTAATCGAACCTGTTCAATGTCCGTTAGGCCACAACCGAAAGCCAAGCGCATTCCAATGGAAAGACG